TCTGCACAGTTTATTATCAACTATACTGCAAATCTTTAAATATCTTTTAAGTCTGCAATATCGTTTGAGTACTCCAATAATTCATCAGATTTCATCTCTGTTTAGGCCTAGCAATCATTTAATTCCAGCAGAAGCTTTTTTTTATTCTAGTCCTTATTGCTCTTCTTTGTTCCTGATCAAGGGGCTCTTTACATTTATGTTCCTTTTATATGCTTATTGCAGGTTCTGTCCCCATCTCAGCTCTATTTCTTGCAAGCTCGTCAATTTTCTTATTACTCATGATTATCTTATGACCAAAGACCCAAACTAATTCCAATTTCTTAGAAAAGGCCAATATATCCAATGCTTGTTTATACTCCATAGTAGAATGGATTTCTAGTCATTCTAGGGAACTCAAGAGCTTGAATAATTTTTCCAACATCTTAAATTGAAAAGAGGGACTTATAGGTCGGAATGCCTTAATAACGCCATAATCCTCTTAACTATTCTTGGGAATAAAAACTATTAGTGATTTATTCAAGGGCTTCATTATATTTCCTAATGCAAGATAAGCTATAAGTAATGCATCTAAGCTCCCTCTGAGCATGCACAGAAAGATACCATTGATGCCTGAGTTTGAGGTCTCCTATAACTCACCTAATATTCATCCACCTTGATAACAATAGCCTCTGCCAATATCCTATCTTCCTTGTTCCTTCTCCTTGTTTGAGTCAATGTTTGGAAGATTGTATTTATTTATAATCTTATAGCCTGGAAACTGTCACCATTAAATGGGTCAAAGTGTCCTTTAAAATAAAAATTCATGTATCAATTTATATGTTTAGAGTCCCCAAGTTGGTGAACACTGTTAGCTTTATTAATTAGAATACTTCCAGTATTTTTTCAATATTACTGCAAAATTTGCAGCAACCTTTCCATTTGTGATTTCTTATTTCTTTTTTATAGATATCGAAGGTAACGCAGAACAGATTCCAATCTTCTTCTATCTTTGTTTTGCAGTCTCATTATAGGCTTTTCTAGTGGATTTTTGTAACTTGACCAATCAGTGGACCCCCGTTTAACATTTTTTGTACAATGGAGTATCTAAAGATCCTAGAAAGATAAAAAGATGCAATTATCATATTAATATTTTTTGTGCTTATCTTAGTTGTCACATTGGCCAACATCTTTTGTATTTAATTTAGGGGGTGGCAAAACCTGTAAATCCTTTAAGCACCAGATTTATTTCCTTGTGATGATTTAAATTAGAGGTGGCCAAACATCATCTAAACCCTTTAGCCATTCTCCTGAAAGTAGCTTACTTAATTTGGCTATGACCAACTCACATTAGATATTGATTTGCCTTACCTTGACCATGGTGGACTCCATTGTCATGGCAAGTTAAGGGAAAAGTGGCAGGAATCATTTCAATGGCATTTACTGAGTATGCTCCTTTCCAGCCAAACTTGAGAGAACATCCAGTAGGGATCCATATGTGTAAGGCCGCCTGTGAGTAAGTTGATCAGAACTCGCCCCTTTCCATCCCCAAAAAATCATCAGGAATTATTACCATCTACAAACTTTTTAACTGAGCTGATAAAACAGCCAGACTTTCCTGGTTAGGAGTAATGGGATCCTGCACAATTCTAATGCCCGAGGAGTGATAAATCATTTTTTTACTGAACCATCTGGAAAAACTCTCCAGAAGGGTTAATCCTGGAACAGTATCAAGGAGAAAGACATGTCAGTGAACTTCGTATGTTAAGATTGGGTGTGGTAATGAGTAGTGCACCATCAGGACTAGCACCTGACCTGGCACTAAGAGCCAGGTGGAAAAATAATCTCCATCCATTGGGAAAAATCTATTACATGAGATTCTACCAAGTATTTTTAAAAATTATTCATTTTTATTTATTTGCTTGGAAATAATAAATATAACCATATAATATAATCAAAGAAGTGCATCACTTCTATTTATGGATAGGAGTACAATTAGATGCTAGGTTGCAGTATTTTCATTTTGGAAGTAACTATATCTCTGACTCTAAGCTCTGCGAATTGATTGATCCCACCAACATATTTAAGTCTGCAAATGTTTCTGGCTTGTTTTAACAGATGTCACACCATATGCCCCAATGAGGCCACAGTGCACCTTATTCGTGAAATTAAATAAATAAATATAACCTTGGATTTATTGAAAAATGCTTTAAAATACTAAATCCAGACATCATTAAAATGAGAGTGGGCAAGTGGAAGTGTTGATCTATATTCTTGGTAGACTACTTCCTCCTCAATTACTGACATTTCATGCTGGAACAGCCAGTATATTCCCAGAAAATGCATTATTGTTTTTCTGGAAAAAGTAAGGAATTCTTAAAGAAAATTTTACATTATGTTATTTATTTTATTATTCTTTCTATGTTTTAGATTTTGATGCAATTTTTTTTCTTCGTTGAAATTCACATTGTACACATTGATTTTTGTATAATTTTATTTTTTTGACCACTTAATTCATCCATTTACACTTTTTTTGTTTATTTTTTCCCCACTGTGATCATTTAAATGTTTAAATGTTTTTGTTTTTTGTGTAATAATTGCCTAACGATTTTTTGGAAAACCTTTTTTTTCAGTTTTTCAGTTTTGCCTATAACTTTTATTAACATAACTTTAAACTGTAAATTTATTTTGTCATTATTCTTAATTCTGCATGAAAAATGAGCTTAGTGTCCAATATGCAAACATTTTAGTCTGCATGCAAAGACATTATCTTTGTTATAATACTATATATATTGTTTTGTTTTTTGGATCTTGTGTATTTTTATATTTATGTACAAAAATATTTTTATTAGCCCATGTGTATATATCATTTTTTTTTTTAGTAATAAATGTCACCTAATAATAAAGGATTTTGAATATTTGTTAAAATTGATTTTGTTGACTTTTTTTGATAAATATAGTCGAATCATTTTAGTATTTGTTTAATAAATGTTATATATTACTCAATTACAATTCCTCACATATTTACGACATTTTCACTTTCAATTTTATCAAGGTTATAACATATTATTTAGAAAAAAATCAATGTTTGGGACAATGAACAAAGTCAGGGAGAAAAAATGCAATATTGAACCTCGAATAGTCTACAACATATATATAGGTGTGGTAGCTCAGTGAGTGAGACAGTATGTTCCTATGTCCCAGGCCTGTGTTTGAGTTCAGCTTTGGCAGATAATTATTTATTTAGTTATACCAACTGTAGATAGACCCAAAATTGGAACACATCCAACCTCTATAAAGTGGATACTCTTAATTTGGAAACAAAAACTAGTGGTTTTATTCTTTGCTTATATATACTTGGTTTATTGCCATGAATTCCAACATACAGGGACATTTCTAGACAAGTAGGCACCTAAGTGGTAACAATGCTGGGGCTTCCCTCTCATATAATGTTTTAACTTATAAATGTAACATTTATTGTTTTTATTAAAGGTTTTTTAACCTCTTCAGTCATTTTCTAAATCTTAGGTAAATTATTTTAAAACTCATGGCCCCTTCAGAGTCCTTTGCTATCTGGGGTCTCTTTGCTTACCCCCCTCTGCCAACATAGTATAGTATATTAAATGATTAGATATTAAATAATGAATAAACATAAATGTAATTTTAAAAATCAGATTAGACTATCACAGGATGCTTTAAAACAAGAAATATTTGAGAACTATACTATGGAAAGAGGACATGGCCATCTTGGATAATTGATGCAATCACCACATATGACAATTGTTGCAATTGTCTATTAGCTTTTAATTACCCAGTTAGAATGTTATTCTAGTGCTGTTATTTGTGAGAGGAAACTATTCTGGAAATGAGGTATGTTAATCTTTTTTTCCAATTCCCAATGAGAGTGATACCCATACCACAACCAGAGAGGGAAGGACATGACTACTTTTCCAAGGTCGTTACAATATTAATATTATTTGCTATGGACTGAAATTGAACCTATATTATACTGGTCTTATCACTCTTAGATCACTCACCCTTCTTCTCAGCCAATATGCCCTCATAATTTGTTTGTTACTTTCAGGGTATCATTTATGGCAGGTAGCATTATGTATTATTATATGTATTTTATGTTGTTAAAAGAACAATTTAATTTTAATTTGATTTAAAATGCCTGTATGTAAATGAGTTATATGTAATTATCTCATAGAACCAAGAAAATACTGGTACCAAATTATTGCTCAAATGAGATTACAGTGAGTTGGCTATAGAACTAACTGTTTTGAGTAATTTCTTCAGTACAGAAAAATGATAGTGGAAGATTATTTAAATGAGCTAGATTCTGCCCAATTTTAGCATTGGTAAATAGTATACATTTTATTTGATTTTTCAATTTAAAAGGATTAGTATATAATATAAGATAAGTGGAAAACAAGTATATCATGTTTTTTCTATAGCCGACTATTTTTTTGAATTTTAAATTGAGTGTCAGTGATTGTATTTTCAATTAAGGGTATGCCTTTATACTTTACACGAATCATATTTTTAATAGCCTTCAATGCTTAGATGACTTAGACAACTTAGTCAGAATATAATCTGCTAATAACGCATTTATTACCAATATTTGATGATGATTGTAAATTATTACAATGGATTATGATTAGCTTCAAAATAATTTTCAAGTACATAGTTAATTTCTGTAATATATAAAAAAAGCTGAACAATTGTGTTTTACAGTAATAGAGGATTTATTATATTTTCATTTATTATATAAGATAACAATTATTCACTTGTTAAAGTCTCCATTTTTGTAGGATTTAAAAGGCCTTTAAAATAACTTCTTATTAAATAGTTGTATACTAAGTGTAATAAGATATTTGATTACAACTTTTCAGAAAAGAAAACCATTACAACTTATATGTTATAAAAATTGATATATAAAATTAAATTTCCAATCTACATGATTATGTATAATTCACTTTAATCTTTTAAAAATGACTAATTAACCAATGTTCATAAAACAGCGAAGAAGACCAAGTGCAGATATGAGGAGGCCAAGTGTAGCAGAACTAGAAGACTTGATTAATAAATCTTCAACCCCTCTTAAAAATATTGGGTCTCCTGGACCACCTGCCATCGTAGATGTTCAAGAAAGTTATTCAGCTGTAGAAGGTAATATGCTTTATAAACTAGAAACCCTAGATTGGAATGGAATATATTCTTGCTCTTCTATTGACTCTATGGTTGATATTCTTACTAACAATCTTCTCAATATCCTCAATACCCATGCCCTCCTCAAAACCTCTACCTTTCATCACCGACCTGCACTTTGGATGTGTCAGAAAATTAAAGATCTGCAGAAGAAGTGTGACGCTGCCTGTAGATGCTTTAGGCGTACTAGGCTTGCAGATGACTAACGTTTAGCGTGCTTCGCAACTTGACACAAACAAGGATCCGTCATGTGAAATCTACCTATTTCCATGAAGACCTTTCCTCATCTTCTAATATCAAATCAAAATGCCTAAAAACTTTCTCTTTGTGATACTTCTAGATCTCCTACCTCAGCCTTTCCAGTATCCCCTGATGATCTAAACTCACATACCAGTTACTAATACCTCTTCTCAACCCTCTTCTTCCAGCTATTCTTCAGAGATATCATTTAACGACAATAATTTTTATTTTTCCAACATTTCCCCCACAGACCTTTTAACCACTTTAATGAAATCCCACACCAATTTCATAGAATCATATGGAATCCCAATAAAATTATGTCTCTCTGAAATCCTTCCAGTTCTCCTTTTTATCTACAATTTCTCACTTCAGAATTCAGTATTCCCTACTTCTTAGAAAAAAGCCATTTTCCTTCCTTTAAATAAAAATTCTAATCCATCCTCATCCGAAGATTTCTGTCTAATCTCTCAAAATCCCTAGAAAGATTGGTGCAATCCAAGTTTCAAAATTCCTTGAAAAGTCCAACCAACTTGGTCCTCTCCAATCTGGTTACCGTTCCCGCTATTCCACACAATCCGCCTTAATTAAAATCACCAGTGCTAGAGAATAAAAACTTAACTGTCCTCATACTTCTTAACTTCTCCACAGCCTTTGATTCCATTGACGAATCCATCTTTTTCAACATACTAAAATCGTAATCCTACTCCAATAGTTCCATCCCTTGGTTCCAATCTTTCCTCTCACGACCTACCCAAGCTGTTTCTATATCGAATCAACCAATATCTGCCTACCTTTCTTTATCTTCTGGAGTTGCCGAGGGTTCAAGCATATATCATCTCCTTTTCAGCTCCTACATTAACGACCTACATGATTCAATTCTCAATTGTTCCCATCACCTTTATGCAGATGATTCTCAAATCTACCTATCCTTTTCTTCCTTTGAGTTTTTGGTAGAATTTGTCAAGATTCATGAAGACCTAGATCGAATCAGTGCCTGGCCAAATGTAAGGTTAAATGTTGCTAAAACTCAGACCATTGTCATTGGTTCCAAGTTCAAGTTCCCTTCTCAGATCCTATACCAACTTTCCCATACTACACCGTAATGACCATCCAATCACCTTCTACTCTTCTGTTAACAATTTAGGTTTTTTCATTGATCAAATCCTCTCCTGGAATCACCATATTTCTCACATCTACCGACGGACAATGTCTACCCTCAAACTATTCCATCGCTTTTGCCATCTCCTACCTCAACATACAAGCAGACTCTTCTCCAATTCAAGTCCTCAGTTCATTCCCTTTCCACAAGATCGACCTTTACACCCTTTCTCACAGATCTGCCTCATTCCAAAATTCCTTTATTGCTCGCTCTGTCAATTTCTGGTATCCCTTCCATATCAAAATTCGACATTTCCCCTCCATATCCACATTCAAAACCCTTCTTTTCCAATCTCTATCCCAAAAATAGTCAGATACTTGCTAACCTAATGACATACATTTATTTCATGTCATTCATCATCAAATGTTAGTGCTGTTCTTTGCAAGGGAATTTTTCTATTCTCAATGCCATTGAATTCATCTATTGTTCGATGATTACTATCATTTTTTGTTATATATAATTAAATTCTTAACTGTACTTACCTCAATAAATGATCATGATGTATTTACATATTATTCTACATGTAAATGCTCAGGCATTTTATATTGTCATATTCGTCTTTCTTTTTTTCTTAGCAGAAATACAAAGCTTATTTTAAAAAAAAATTTTGTTTTTTTTCTTAAAAGTATATATTTAAACAGTTTTACCACTGTATATAGTTTTAAGTGTCTTGTCATAGTTTTAAGTGTCTTTTCGTAGTTTTAAGTGTTTTGTATATTGTTTTATTTGTTTTGTATGTAGCATGTTTACCTAATGTTTTCTTTACTTGTTTTTATTCAGGCCAGATATAATCTTTTAATTTTGTAATTCTTAAGAGACTTTGCCCCAGAATAAAGTTATTTTCTATCTATCTAACTTTACAACAAAAACATTAATCTTCAACTCCAGGGTGCGGGCTATGATATATTATAGAGCACAATATTGGTGTTATCAAGAGTTCGAGAGATAGAAAAATTAAAAAGGTATTTTCTAAAAAATATGATGGAGCTTCCAGATAATACTCCTAATAACTGCATGCTATATCTTGAAACAGGATTTGATAATCTATGTATTTATACAATAAAACTGCACATTGATTATATTATAAAAGTGTTGGAGATGGACCACCTATGACTCCCATGGAATAGCTAAATTAATCATTGAAAAGAATATATCATGGATGAGGACATTTGGAAGAATATGAACAAAATTTGACATTTCTTTTCCCAAAAAAGATCTGCTGACAGAGTTGGAAACACATAAAGACATTTTTATGGAAAAATTAAACAAGAGAAAATGAATCATTACATTAAAAGGGCGAGATCAGGAGAATATCATAAAATTAGAATACAATTGTGGGTATTTTAGGAAGAATTATTGCAATTTATACTTTATTTGGCTAATTTTTAAAGCGCCAAGGGAACTTTCCAATCTAAATTACCAGCCGTGGCTGAACATGAATACACCAGAAAATACTTTTCAGTTTATATTGGTGTACCCAATACTAAAAAAAAAAATCAGAATAGCATTTTTAGGTAAGCAGCAACTAAATTTCATGGAAACTATAAAACCAATCTGGTGAGTGCAACACGCAACTTTCACTTACTGCTCTACTTCGAATAGAAATTATTTTCTGGCAATGTTGAGATATTATAAAATTTTTAAAGCTTACAGCAGAGAATCATTAGCACCATTAAAATAACAAAAAGCCTATTAATTATATCAATGGTAGGTAATATAAACCTCGTTACTCCATCTGTTTTGTAAATCACACAACTCCAGTCTCTTAGGTATATATATATATATATGTTTAGAGAGATTTGAAAGTATATCTGTATATTCAACCTATTAATGATTATGGACTGTGCTGATTAGTTATTAAACTGTTATTTTCCATTGTAGAGATTACTAAAATGAAATTACGAGATTTTTATTGCCTGCCATAAATAGGTCAAAAGTTGTCACACTAATTTTAAGTGGATAATGTTGGGATTTCACAAAGGGAAAACTCATCGGATTATTCACTAATTTAATATTCTAAAAATTTCATGATGATTTTTGGAATAAACGGACGTCGATACCTAATTATTTAAATATAATATCAGATCTAAAATTATTAAACTACAGTAAACGTATTTAAGGTTATAAACATATGCTTTATACATCCATGAAATATTTTTATATTTCACTTCTTCTTTCACACAAGTACAATGGAATAGTATTTTAAACAATGTCATTGTCTTAATTTAGTGGATTTGAAATACTTTTTTCATACTTAAAAATTTTTTAAAAGTTTACATTTAATAAGAAAATTTCCTTTAATTTTCTTGGAAACATGCGATGTACGTTAAATAATGTTAGTTTTCAGAAACTATTATTCATATTTTATTCGTTACTCTCCGTTACCTTCTACAACTTTATTAATTAGATATTATTTTTTCTAAAATTCTCTACTTTCAAACAATATATTATACGTTTACCTTCTGACTATTATTTATGGAGATTCATTTTCGAGGTGGATAAGCATTTTTCTTTTTTTCTCCTTTATTCAATTATCAAATTCTTTCAAAAGTTATATTTAGTCAGTTTGTTTTTTTATGGAGTATTCATTTTGTTCCCACGAGTATGGGGGTGGTAAACGGTCACTGTAAGTACTACTTCCTCACCCTGCAGAAGGCATAAAAAAAAAGGGGGGGGTGTGCCTGGTGCCCCAAGTTGGTCGAATTGACAGTGTATCTTTATAACCATCCCTAACCACCCTTGCCATTCAGCCGTAGCTTAAGCTCCCCCCACCTGGCTTGGGTGTCTAGAAGGATCATCACAACTGCTAAAAAAAAAAGTTAGAAGTGAATACCCTCACCTCTGTTATCCACAATTCCTATCGGACTTCCTGAGGAGCACTGCAAGGAGTTGAAAATAAATAAATAGATAGATAGAAACAAAAAAAATGTATTCTGGAACTAAGCCCCTTTAGAATAACAAAATTTTACAAAAAGAATAGAATACTACTTGCCTAAAAGTTTGAAACAATAAATAAAATTGATAAAATAAACTAAAAAGTAAAGAAAACCTTAGATGAACAAACTGTATACAATACAGATAAAATTATGTACAAAACACTTAAAAATATGAACAAAAGACTTAAAAGTATAAACAAATCACTTAAAACTAGTGTTGCCCAAACACAAGACCAAGACAAGACCGAGGCGGTCTTGATCTTGGTCTTGCATCAACGAACCTTGGTCTTGGTCTTGGTCTTGCGTACTTAGTCTTGGTCTTGCGCAAGAGTCTTGCAGTTGACTATCAGCTTATTGCTATTTATTAATATGCTACTTTAAATCTTAGAAAAACGCTACAAAATAATTACAATTAGATGTTTTAGTGACACAAACATGGCTAAAGTACAACTAAATCAATACAATTAAGAATAAAGAAAGATAGTGATAAATCTCCTCCATCCCTCTGGAATGAAAGAGTTGTAGAGTAAAGACAATTTACATATCTTTATATATTGTTCCCAATGATTTTGATTAAAAATCTATTGTGTCCACTTACAAGACTTTCCTATAATATTTAAAAAAAA